GCCACAGGCATTGACAGAGGTCTTAGGCATTAGGACTGTGTGAAGCTTTGGTCCCTGATTTGATTCAGCGGAAATTTGGCCCGATTCAGTGGCTGAATCTGAATCAAATCAGAGGACCCTTTAATCTTGCCGAATCAAATCAGAACCTCCAAATCTATCTGGAGAGATTTGGACATAGAGACAGCTTTAAATGTTTTTTCTACGTACCTCTAGGTAGCAGGGGCTCATGAATGCTGCAATGCTGGGGTGGATGGAGCATCCCATGGGAGCACGAGGGGCTCCCCAGCATGCTCAGCAGCAGACCCAGAAGTGCTTCTGGTCCACTTCCAGGTCCCCCGGGGAGCACGCTGGAACCCGCCCCCTGCACCCCTCTGGTTTGGCAACTGGTGCCTCCTGGGTCTGGTGGGGGGGCACCTGGAGTCCCCGTGCAGCTGATTGCTGAGCTGGGTGGACACAGAGGGGCCACCAGCGTGCTCCCCAGAAGACCTGGAAGTGGACCAGAAGCATGAATGGTGTGTGCCCCCAGCAGCTGGGGGGGCATGGCTGTGTTGGCAGTGGTGGGAGTGCAGCAGCGGGAGCCCGGCGGCGGTAAGCTGGGAGCTCCCACAAATGCTGCCAGCACTGTTGGCAGTGGGGGCAGGGGTGGTGAGCACCTATCAGGGGTCAACAACCACCTGAAGGCGACACCGGCAGACACCGCCGGTGGTGTCAACGGTGGGGTGGCGAGCGGCGACCACCTTCAGGCACCGCTGACAGTGTCAGTGGCGCCTTTTTGCAGGGGGTGCACCGCCACACTCAGGGGGTGCATGTGCACCTGCATGCACCCCCTACGTGTCGCCCCTGACCAGAAGTACTTCCGGTTCACTTCTGGGTTTGCTGCCAAGCACATGGAGTGTCTCCCCGTGCTCCTGTGGGGAACCCCATCCGCCCCAGCATTGCAATGTTCACAAGCTGCACCTGCTACCTCAAGTATGTAGAAAAACCTTTTAAAGATGTGTCTGTGTCCGAATCGCTGATTCTCTGAATTACCATTGAATCTTCAGATTTGGATTTGGCCGAATCGAATCAGGGATAATGATCTGAATCAACGAATCAAATCACTGTCCCTGATTCGGGCTGAATCCGAATCAAATAGGGCCCGCTTCGCGCACCCTTATTAGGCATACTTTGCCCAGCCCCTGGGAGTTCCAAGTGGGTGGTGGGCTGTGGCTTAGGATAAGAAGCTCCTGTGCTGGTCTGGGCTTGAGGATGCAAGCTTGACAGACATAGATGTTCTTACATCTAGCAACCCACAGAAGAATGTGCCTTCTTAAGTCATTGGTCATGCTGACCTGCTACAGATGGCATTTTCAGAATACCTGCTTTTTGAAACCTAAATGATTTTTGTTGTCCTGTTAGTAAATGTAAGTCAACCATCACACTAATGGCAAGCTCTAAAGCTTACTTCAGTGAACCAAATTAACTTTCACATTACACTTACTATTGCTAGTCAGGGCAAACAAGATAAAAATGGCTGAGGATGGGGGTAGAGTTAGTTGCATGGATGCTTGGTGTGGAGAAGAGCAGAGCTGAAGGTGATTACATGATGCTTGTATTTGGAGTGCCTGAATGTGTGGTTGTTATGAACAGCCCTCCTCACACTTCTCTTTTTGAAAAGTTCTGTGACTTGTAAGGAAAGGCAAGGGAAGAGACACCCACAAATGGGAAACATACAATTTTAGGAGGAATATTTACTAATAGCATGCATTACTCTGCAGTACAAAACATGATGGAGCTGAAGCAATGACTACCTATAAGAGGTTAATACTGGTGTTAGACACTCTAAACTTGGCTGTTTTATTAACTCTGACCTTTCATTAAAAGAATAAGCTATGAAGACAGGCTTGCCAGAATGAACTAAATGCACACTTGTCCTGTTAACATAGCCTTGCAAAAACACTCTGTAATATGAACAACAGGGTTACGTGGTTGCTATCTAATCCCACTCAACTAAAGAGAGATGTCACCCTCAATGGCTTCATTCAAACAGTGAAGCCATATCAACAGTAGGGTTGCTTACAAAAATAAAACAGAAAATCTGCCACTTTGTCCCTCATTCAGCTCACTGGACATTAAAATCATTAGAAAATCTGAGTTTAGGCAAGGCTGTTGTGACATCTGGTGTTTTTACTACCTTGTCAAAGAAGAACCTAGGCAGACATAGCATTGCAGCTAAGTAAACTGGGTGCAGTCATTGTTTTTATGGGGGATATTATAATTTATGGGGTCAGACTGCAGCCTCTAATCATTGTCTTGCTTCAGATTGAGGATATATGGTAGATCATTGTACCTGCCACTGGTTCCTGTTACTTCCCTCTTTTCTACAGGAAGAAACCATGCTGTTCAATGTATCATAAAACAAAGGGAAAAATTGTACAGGAGCAAGGGTTGATGGTTGTAATGTTACAGAAATGGCTGTAATGCTGCAGTGGCTAATAAGATTAGCAGCTATTTGTGTGCAAAGGATTTAGCTTAAAGCTTTGGAGGCATAGCCCTGACAAGATATGGCATATATTAACACAATCCTTAAAGGCTTTACTAGAAACACCTCTAGACTAGTCAACAGGTGATGGTATCCTATGTTATCATCCTCTTACTGAGTTGGGTGGAGTGAGGACTTATTTCTCCACACTGTAAAATAACTGTAGTACTTTTCTTTTGCAGTTCTCTTATGTTAGTTTAGCATGGCAACCAAATGGCATAAAATATCTTCAGACTTAGCTTTTAGCAAAGCAAATAGCTTTCTTATGGTGAATATTTTCCATATTCTCTTTATTCATTCTACCTCATTTGGAAGGGTTACCCATTTCCAGGCTCTGGCTTTCATACTGACATGCTGAGCTAAGATGGATGTATAGAGATATGCAGTACCTCGCTGTGGAGCCAAGACTGCAATGCCATGCACTGCCTCAGGAAACACATTGGCTGTGCCTGGACCTGGACCGAGGAGCGCCGGGAGCTGGGAGTCTTCCTGCAACCAGCCCCGCACGCCGACCGCATCACCGTGACGCCCCGCATGAGGACCTTCCTGGAGAGGTTCCTGAAGGACGCTGTCCAAAACAAATACACCAGCGACCTGAGGGCCAAACCCAACCAGGGCAAGGTCTTCGATGTCACCTCGAAGTGGGACGCTAGCAACCATTTCATGCCCAGCAGGAGCTTCACACGCTTTGCAGACTGGTGCTCCCTCCATGGCGTCTGCCTCAACTGCCTGCCTCTGAATGGGGCCGTGTGCTTCGGCCACTGGGACAAGAGGTGCCGATGGTGCGGCTACACAGCAGAGACCCTCCCCCATGTGCTGGACAGCTGCAAGCCACACGCCAGAGCCTGGCAGCTCTGCCACAACGCTGTCCAGGACCGCCTGGTGAGAGCCATCCCAGCCGCAGCGGGGAAGATCTCCATGAACCGCACCGTCCCGGGCTGTGAGAGCCAGATGTGATCCAACATAGTTATCACCAATGAAGAGGCCAAGAAGGTCGTGATTGTGGATCGTCACCATCCCCTTCGAGAACTGGCACCAACAGTTCCCCTTTGAGGACTGGTGCCTTTGTGTTAAGGCAGAGAGGGATGAAAACAGCAGGAATGGTAGCCCTTTCTAAGGGCATGAGACTTGCCAGGTTTCAGGCAGAGCAGTGCAGGTGTTTCTGAGAAAGTTCTGAAAACAAATAAAAAATGCAAATAGGTGTGGAGTGAGGAGGGTGGCACTCACTCCATCTGCTCATGGAGCTTGGGGAACCCCAGCAGCGGGAGGTTCACCTTCAGGAACACTGGCGATGGGTAGGGGGTGTATACAGGTGCACATGCACCCCCTGAGATTGGCTGCCACCACTGCTGGCCACTCAGCACTTGCCATCCCCCTCGCCGTGGCCTCCTGCGGGTCGCCCTTGCTCAGGCTGCCCTCTCCGCCATCACCGTGGCTGCCTGCGGGTGGTCCCTGCTTGCTGCCACCACGCCACCACTGCTGCCACCTGTGGGCAGTTGCTGTGTCCCCCCAGCCTTGGGAGACATGAGGCATTCATCTTCAGGAACACCAGCTGCTCCACCAAACAAAAATCCAAGGAGATGCGGTGGGGTCTCACAACATCCCCAGCAATCCTGAACACCTTCTTGCTTGAAACACTGGTTGGTGGGCAGGACCGGTGTACCTGGGCAACCGTGGCCAGATCCTGCCACACCTGGTTCTGGGTTGCCCAGTAGGCCAAGGGGTCACAATCCAGCAGCTTCATGTCCTCGGTGAGATAGGCAGCCACCGAGGCCTCTGCACTACCTGCCTGATGGTGGGGTCTGGTGCCTCTGGAACCCAACATTGCAGCCATGCCCTTGGCCTATATTGGCAGCAGGTGTGGTGGAGAAGATTGGCTCATGATTGGAGTGCTGGCATGGGAAAGTGGATCCCCCTCTTCCCTGTCCCCCCCACCTCTGCCCTTCTGCCTCTCTGACTTCGTTCACCAGCACCTCCATCCAGTGATCGAGGCTTTTGCTGCTGCAAAACCCTCGATTCATCCTCGGGTCGCACATGCTCACCATCACATGAACCGTACTGGACCGCAATGGATCCAGCCATTTTTTGATGCCTTCTTTCAGCTGTTTCACCAGTGTCTGCACCATTGGTGAAAGCCGCTTGCCTCAGTCAGGAACATCAATCACCCGGAACTTCTTCATTTTAGTCTCAAGCTCCTTCACTACAGGGATCACCTGGCTAAGGAGGGCAATGCCAGCGCTGAGGTTCTTGGTAGCCTTGAGGAGCAGCTTGAGGACCACCAAGATCTGGGAGATGGTATCCTACTCTTGGACACCAGAGCCTGAAAAAGCTTCAGGCAGCCCCACCAACTGAGAGACAGAGGCCCTGTCTGGGTGGAGCCCAGAACCATGGGCTCCATCTGCAAAGAGGCCTCTGAGGAGCCAGAGGGCGGGGCCATAGACCCTGAAGGGTGCGGCATGACAAGCATGCCTGTTTGCACGGCCTGTTCATTAGGCTCTAGTTGTGTGGCTCCCTGGGGGCTGGGCAGAGTAGGAGCTGGGGGTGTGTGTCCCTCCTTGGCTCTGGCTCAGCTGCCCTGCAGCTGACTGGATCGGGGTCCCTCCCTCCCTGCCAAGGGCCCCATCTATCTCCCAGGCCCATGACAGACTTCCTGGGCTAAGGGGTTGGGGCGGCAGATTGCCCCCTCAGTCCCCCTCAGGCCATAACAAACACTTTGCGCTTTGTCTTGGGGAGAGCGGGGGTGGTAGCTACAGCCTGTGTTACCTGTGGGAGCTGGCAACTCAGCAGGCTCTGCTGGGGCTGCAAGAGGTTCATACCTGTTGCAAAGCTCCAGCGGGGCAGGGACCTTGGTGCAGCAGGCCTTGAGGCCCTTGACCACCTTGGTCCAACCCCTTGGCGGGACAGCATGGGACGTCTCTGAGTCCTCCCTTGTCCTGGAAGATGACCTTGGTCTACCTTCCGCCTCCAGGGGGTGAAGGGCCTGGTAGTAGGAGTCTATCTCCTGCTCACCATCCATGATGGCGCAATCTCTGGACTGCGGCCTGGAGCTCCTCCAGCTGCTGTGCCAGAGACCCCAGTAGGGAGCAGACCTCACAAGGGAAGGTGGTTATGCTCCTGAATTGCTTTGGAGGCTTCCAGTTCAATTCAGATGTTTTAATGCCCCCCCCTCCCCCCGATTCGATTCCAATTCAGAGATTTGGCTGCTGAATCGGGCTGAATCTCCTCCAAATTGAATCAGCTACAGAAGCTTCACACAGCTCTAATATCCAAATACTCTACATAAAGGGGCAGTTCAATGGAATATGTATGAAGATATCTTTTTGCACTCCTCCCAGCATAACTCAGAATATGCTCTGGTTATGATGTTTAGATGGAATTCCAAGTCCAGTGCAGTAATTTGACCAGACTTTCTTACTGCCAAAGAAGGAGGCAGAATATAAGTGTCTGTTTCGATCTCCACTTCTGAGAGTTCTGTACATAAATCTTGCTCCCAGTTTTGAATGTATGTAGCTTTGGAGGGTTTTTTGCTTAATTTAAACATAAAGTTATCCTAACAAACAGCAGTAATATTGTAGCCTTCCACAGGATCTTGAAGTTTACTGACTTTGTGCACTGAAAGAATTGTCACAGCAAATGTTATCTCCACTGATAGAAGACATAAGTAGGAAATCAAATTGTCAGCCTATAAACTGAAAAAATGTTGATTCCATGATGACAATGATTCTCAGGTAGGATGAAATACCTACCAAAGCCCCTTGAGAAACCTGGTAGTTCATGGGTAATGGAAAACTGCATGGGCTAGAATTGGTAGAGAAAAACTGGATGCCAAATGCAAGCAAAATAGACTAAAAGGTGTCTTGAGGTCTTTATGGATTTGAGGCATACTTGTGATTGACTGCTGAGATGACAAAAATGGAAAGCATTTCTGGTCAGTAGTGTATGCAGCTCTAATATTCCTTTTTTAAATTAAAATTTTTGCACATTAGGAGAAGAAGCCTTTTCCAAATAGGTCAGACAGTTCCCATGGTGTGAAATGAAAGGGCACAGAGTCAAGTTAAAGAATTCTATTGTCCTGACTGATCAAGTCCAGGAAAGAGAGATATGAGAGGACATGTGGATAGGCTTCTCAAGTTTGGAATAAAAGGCTGCAGCAATGTTGCAAAGCTTTGCAAACAGCAGCTATGCCACATAGCTACATTACTGGAGACCTCTAGTGGAGATGCCCTATATGCCAGTGGAGTTTTTTAACTGGTATGCCAGTGTCTAGCCAAGGGCTGTGTTGGCCTAGCTCCATTGCAGAAAGAGCATAATTTTCCCCCCACACTTTTACCCAACAGAGATATGCCAGCAGAAGGTTGTCATAGAGAATCAGAAGGGCATCCACTTTTGAACTGAGGTTTTATTTCCATCCTAGAGTTGAAGATTTTGTTTTCTTGTTATAGCTGTTGGTGTGGCTTTCTGGTTGTAAACAGATCTGTATAGGAAATACCACACTGCTCAAACACTGACCTGATAGAAGAGTCCTTCAGAGACCATTAATGGCTCCCAGAGAAATGACCAAGTGGTTTGTCAATGTGTTACAAAAACCTGCCAGATGAATTACTAAAATTTGTTTGCATACATGCCAACTCTATAGGACAATGGCTTCCCTGCATAACTGGGTTGTTCTGGAATCTACTTCCTCACATAAAAATATTGCATTGGCTATCATTAATTGCATGACAGGAGTAAGAAAATTTGTGTAACTTGGGTGCACTGTCCTGATCTCTAAAATGCCTCCTCTTTGAACTACCAAACTGGTGAATGTACTTCTCACACCATCAATAAAGCAACACTTGATGTGAACAGTATAGGAAGCAAAGAAAAAGAAACACCTTTGCATACCTGGTTTTGGTTCTTCTAACTGTTGACTGATGCTAGATTGTCTTGGATTTGAATTTGCATGTTTATTCAGAGATGGAAAGCAGGCATCACTGAGTCTCATGAAGGCAGTTTTACATGGGAATGTGCAATGGCAATATATTCATAAGGCAACATTATCTCAAGAAATACAAATTTATCTTCACTATTAGAAGACTCTATGCCAAGTCGGTGGTGGTCAACCTCTTGCCTGAGGAGCCATGTCATCCAACCCTGGGTCCAGAAACTTGGCAGTGGGGGAATGGTGGCAGCATTAATTGCTCTGCTGCTGCCAGATTTCCAGACCTGTGGGGAGTCTCCTGGACTGGATAACATGGCCAGAATACACTGGCGACCGGTGTGTGGAGTCACTCCACAACTGGATCTGGCATGCAGGATCAGGCTGCGATGTGGGGTGGAGGATTAGGCCAGCATGCAGCCAAACCCAGGGCTAGGCTGCATGAGAGATAGGGCTGCTATGCACATCTGGATACAGCATGCTGGATCATACCCTGTACATGGGATCTGCTCTGCAGATCCCACTCATTTGACCTCCAGGGCTGGAAGGTTGAGTGACAACATTGTGCAAAGGTGGACCATCAAGCCTTCAGCATAGTAAAACACATGAGGTATCTGATAAATTCTATTTTTGAGTTATAATCATGTGAGACTTGGTCTTACCTCCACGCTCAAGGACAACCGGCAACATAAGCTAGCAGAGACAGAAACTAACCAAGTTTTTTTCCACATTTGCTTGCCGTATTGTATGCTGCCAAATAAGAATGGGCCTGAGAAGGATTACCCATGCTGTG